ACCAGGCCTGGGGAGGAATCAGTGCCTGGTGAGAGGCCCTTTGTCCTGTGGGCAGCGAGGTGGAGCTGGACTTGACAGCACCTCTCCCCTTGAGCACCCATCCTCTTGCTCCTCTCTCCCCCAGCAGGCACCCACTGACCGCCTTCTCCTGCTGCCTGTGCAGGACACAGGCCCTGTGTGGGGCAGATGACCCTAACCAAAGACTGCCTGTGAACCGGCCAATGGGGCTGCCAGGGTGAGGGCTGGGTGCTGGGTGCTCAAGTGGACCTATCCAGAGCCGGCCCAGGACCGCTGGCCGGTGCAGGCCTCCCCAGGAAGTGACTGCTGAGATGAGGCACACAAAGTGGGTGGGGTGACCTGGTGGAGAGGGGGAAGGCCTTGAGCAGGGGACAGTGTCAGAGGCAGTGTCCCTGGCTCGGGGTGGAGGGTGCCACAGGCCTGTGCTGGGCAGAGGCGAGACTTGAAATGTCCAGGCCGAGGAGCCTGATCAGTCAGGAGCGTGGGAAGATTTTAAGGGAGGTAGTGTGTATACACAGTCCAGCTGGAGCTGTGCTGGGGCTGGGGGCAGCTTGGCTGGCTTCTGGCTCTAAATGCTTTGGGGTGGGGTCAGACCCTCCACCCAGAGGGGCTTAGGGCCTCTGCAAGGCTGGAGACCCACGGCCGTGCTCCCTGGCCGAGGCTGGCGCGGCAGAGGCCCTGTGTGGAGGTCGGTGGGCAGGGCTGAGTGGCGCTGGACCTGTCCTGCCAGGCTGATGTTAGGACTCTGGCTGAGTCTTTATGTCCTCTTCCCTTACAGGTGTCCTCCTCTGTCTCCCTGTGCCCCGAGGGGTGACGAGTAGCCGCCGTCTCCCCTCATCTGGGGATTTAGGCCAGCTGGACTTCTCTGAGTCCTTGTCCTTAGTGGCTTTACATAAAGTTGTGTTTTAAGAGTTTGTTTGGTGGGGACTGGGGCTGTGGCCAAGTGGCACAGACTTGCCTCGCATATGCAAGGCACTGGGTTCACTTCTCAGCCCCACATACTAATATGAAAATAAAACAAAGGCCCACCAACAACTAATAAAAATACTTTTAAAAGGTTTATTTGGTGTTTTCTTTTATTGTGGCTCAAGCAGCATCTCACTGTCTTCCACACTTTAACGGCCAGCACGGTCCAGATGTATGTCCTAAGAGGTCACCTCGGCGGCTGAATGAAGGATGGGTCAGAGGAGAAATCTGGCCACAGAGAGACCAGAGGGGCTGTTGTGACCATCTGGGTGAAGGATCCTTGGGGTTAGTGGAGAAGCAGGCTGCGTGGTGCTCGTGAGCAGGAGGGGCAGAGCTGAGGCCCGGGTTCGGCATGGGCTCAGGTGGACGTGGCTATCCCAGGAGATAGGAGAAGACTGTGAGGTCAGACCGGGGGCCAAGGAGCCAGGCCCCTGGAGGCCCTGGGGAGGTGGAGAGGCGGGTGTGGACAGTCCTGGTGGACGTGGCTTTAAATGAGGGTGGTACCCAAGAGTGCCAGGCTGGCTGTTGCAGGCTGGCCAGGCCCAGGCCTCCTGATCATATAGTGTGAGTCCGCTGTCTGGGAGAGGGGACCTATGTTGGGCTGACTCTGGAGCCAAGGAGTGGCCCCCGGAGGCCATGGGAGAAGGCCCACAGAAAGGCCGGTGAGGAGGAACAGGGGACCTCGGGGAGGTCCACAGGGGAAGTGGGAGGGCTGGCCGGGGGCTACAGGACAGGATCATTCTCAGGCAGCCCAAGCGCTCAGTGGCCACCTACCCAGCTGGGGAGTGGCGTGAGGGACGGCAGAGAGCCCCAGCTGCCTCCCTGAGCCAGCACGGCCTGGCTGGTGGGTGGGCAGGGTGGGTCCCAGCAGGAGGACCATCTCCCTGCTGGGCACAGGATCCAGAGCCATGGGCAGGACTGGAGGTTGAGGGCCCAGCTGGTCCCGGCCTGGCCTTCTGTGGCCTCTGTAGCTCCTCCCTGTGCCCAGCGTGTGTGGCCCTGGGAAGTGAGATACTGTGGCTGGATGTGGCTGGCTTAGGGCAAGGCTCTAGAGGCCATCCTGGGGACAGGACTCATTTTCTAAAATCTGTTGGCTGAGCAGCTTCATGACCAGATGTGGCAGTGCCAGGCCTTCAGGAGGGTGGCCTGCCACCAAGGCTCACACCCCCACGCCATGGCAGCCGACCTGTGGACACCACACCCTGCCCCACCCACCCAGGCTCACCTCCAGGGGTGGGGGGCTGGCTGGCCCCTTCAAGCCCCAGCTCATTTAAGGCTCCTTTGGCCCAGGACACAGTGGCAGACAGGAGAGGAAGGGAGGCCAAGGAGCTGGCCTGCTCGCGGAGGACTCAGGTGGAGGCCCACTGGCCTGGCCCGTTCTCTGTCCTTGCCGGCCGCACTGGTGTGTGTGTGTGTCCCCGGGGGTGTTCCCCTCATAGCACTGGGGGTAGTGACCTTCAGGTCCCCTGGGTCTGGCCCCCTGACCTTCAGGAGTATGGGCAGCTGTGCGAGGGGGATGGGAGAACAGGAATTGGGTCACCTTGGAACTAGCCCTTGAGAAGCCCTTGGGGAAGGGTCCTTCCTGTCCACCGAGCAGAGAAACTTCAACCAGGAGCCACGTCAATGGCGGGAATGCACGGGCTCAAGTGGGGAAAGAAGCCACAGCCCGTGGCCCAATGCAGGCTGTGCCCAAGGAGGAGGGGTTGGGGTGGGGGCCTGGGTGGTGGCAGGGCTTGGGACTGGAGCATAAGAGGGAGACCCCCAGGGGGGAGACAGGTGGGGACTGAGGAGCAGCCGCAGCTCTCGGGAGACCAGGCAGGGCAGGGCAGGGCCTGCCAGGATGCCTACCGCTGTCCAGCCATCTACACAAGTCAGTGGGGCCAGGTTCCAGGTTCAGTCTCTGAGGCCTCCCGAAGCCACCTCACAGTGGGGGTCACACATGCTGCCCTTCGTGTGGTCCCTGAGGAGGGCTCAAACTTCCTTTGCCTGCCGCCTGGCCCCAGGCCTTGCAGCTGTGAGCCGGTCTGGGCCCTGGAACTTTCTCTCAGACACCAGGTGGGAGCAGGTCCTAGCGGCTTCTGTGGGGCCGGGGACTGGGCCTGGGGTGGCTGGGAGGATCCCTGTCGGGTCCCTGATGGTCCTTCTCCCCACCACTGCCTCCTCTGCCCACAGCTGGCCTGGCCTCCTGTGTCCCAGCCTGATGGGCCTCTCCCCGGCCCCAGCCCCACCACGACCTGCCACCCCCTCCTCATCAGGGCTCAGGCAGGGCCAAGGCCCTCGTGCTACTGGGTTGTGCCCAGGGCCACCTCTTCTCCACTCCCAGGCCACCAGGCATGGCCTGGCACCCGCCCTCTCCCTGTCTCAACGAAGCAGAACCTGCCCCTGCTCTTCCAAACATGCAGACCCTGACCTTCCCCTGCGTCTTTCTCCTGGGACTCCGGGGCAGGACCCTGGCAGCCTCAGGGCCCAGTCCTGATGGCCTTCCCCAAGCCCACTCTTGGGCCTCTCTGGATATTCTTTCTTGCCCCTGAGGTTCTGTGTGCCGCAGTGCTGGGCCCCATGACCACACCACTGGAGGAGACGCAGGACACGAGACGCAATGGGATTCACTGGGCCCTGCTGGTCCCAAGTCCCGGGGCCTCAGGACAATGAGAGTTTGGAAATGGAGTCTGCAGACATCCTCACGTTGAGATGAGGCCAGCTGGACTGGGGCGGGCATCTGATCCCACAGGACGCGTGTCTCCATAAAAGGGTGCCCAGCTCAGACTGCACTCAGAGAGGTGGCCCCCGGGAGAGGCCTGCAGCACACTCTCCCTGCTGACGAGAAGAACAAGCCCCGCGACCCCAGGGCGCCCAGGCCTGGCCTCCAGCACCACTAGAGGACACGCTGTGCTGGGTATCCTGTGACGTCTGGCTAAGATGAGATCCCATGCCCTTCCGCACTCGAGGTCACCCCTCTGGGGACCTGGCTGCAGGAGACTGGCCCTCAGTGAGGCACCATCCCAGCCCTTCCTCTGCAACCCTTTCCCCACCACTGCCTCTGCTGGCCCTTGCCCCACAGCTGGCCTGGCCTCCCCTGGACCTGTAGACTGCCCAAGCAGTCCACGCCTCAGCCATGGCCAAGGGCAGCCCCTGATGCTTGTCTCTGCAGGGTCCTGTCTCCGAGCTAACTCTAGCCCAGGACCCAGGTGCTGGCTTCTCCTGTCCTCTGCCCTCCTGTCCTGAGATCTCCTAAGAGCTGCCGCGGACTGAAGCTTTCTGTCCCTTCCCAAATTTTCTCTGCTGAGCCTTGACCACCAAGGTGACGGCATTGGGAGGTCTGGCCTTCAGGAAGTGACTAGGGCCAGAGGGCATGAGTGGCCTTGGATAAGAGCCCCAGAAAGACCCCCGTCCCTCCCACCACATGAAGAGGAACTGCCTACCAACCAGGAAGCAGCTCTCACTGGACAGGAAGCTGCTGGTGCCTTGGTCAGACCACCTGCCCAGGCTTTGGTCACAGCAGCCTGAAGGCACCAAGCGCAGGCCACCCAGCTTTGCTCTGCTTTCCTCCCTCCTGTCCACACCCACTGCTGCAGGTCCCTGGCACCCCCTCCCCAAAGAGTGTGATGCCCGGCCCCCTGCAGGAGGTGTGCACATGCTCCCGAGGCCCAGTCTGGCCCTTCTGAATCCTTGGGGCACGTGGCCCTCAGGCTGGCTAGATACAGCACTGAGAGAGAAGGTGGGCAGAGGCCCCCGCCAGACCCACGGAGGCCCAAGCCGCCTCCCTGTTTGGACTGTGTAGGAGGCCAGGCCTGGAATTCTTTACTGCTGGCCACTGTCCTTCCATCAGGCTCCACAGCCATGAGCAGCCACCTGTGGCCTCCCGCCTCTGGGCCTCTCCTTTGGGGTGTCACCTTGCAAGCCTCGCCAGGTCGCTCCCTGCCCCTTGGCCCCCTTTGGATCTGGCCTCCTCCCTCAGGATGCCCACACAACATGGAAAGTCTGAAAAGGAAGCCAGACCCTTCGGCACAGAGCGGTTTCAGCAGAGGACAACTGTATTGGTGTCAGGCTACACGCACGCGCTGGGCAAAGCAGGGCGGACAGCAGGCCCAGGGCTGGGGCCAGTGTCAAAAGCAGCCTGCGACCTAGAGTGCAAAGCTGGAGGGCCACCCAGGGAGGATTCAGGTCCAAGTCCATGGGCCACAAGGCTGTCTTGCCCTGGCCCAGAGGCAGTGCCCCTGCGGGTCGGTCAGTCTCTTGACCTCCGACGTCCATCCCCAGATAAGTCACTTCACCTGTGGACCACAGAGACAGTGTGAATTGCTGCCCGGTTAGCTAAGAGGTGGGGCAGGACTGCCACCCAGCCAGGGCCCCTGTCCCCTCTGCAGCCCCAGGGCCAGTCTACCTTGAACAGGGTGACGGTGGTGCTGTAGAAGAGGCTCAGGAGGAAGAGGACGATGAAGGTGGAGGCAGTGGTCCACAGGTTCTCGAAGCCCTCCTCCTCGGCGCTCACCTCCCCCTCTGCAAGGGGACACATGGGGAGGAGGGTCAGCTTGGGCCTGGGCCCACAGCAGCAGCCAGGCTTTGTGCCAGCAGTGCATCTGGCCACCCGCCTCTTGGGCCCATCTGGGAGAGATCCAGCCAGAATGGGCTGGGTGCCCAGCAGTGTGGGCTGGACAGAGACAGCGCACAGGCCAAGCTGAGCTGGGGACTCCAGGACCTGGTCCTAGGAGCCCTGGGGTGGCACAGAGAGCAAGATGATGTGGCACACAGACAGGTGCAGGAGGGCAGAGGTGGGGGCTGCGGCAGAGTGGACTTTCCTTGAGGAGTTAGCCCAGTACCTGGGCTGCGCAGTGTGGGGGCTCCCTGTGTCTTGGGGTTGGGATGGGCAGAGGGAGCTGGGGGCCGAGGCCATCCCCTCCTTACTCTGCCAGCACTCGGCCACTCCATCCCCTGCTCAGAGCAGAGTCCATGTGGGGATGTCCTGGCTGGCTGGTCCTGCCCTATCAGCACGACAGCTCTTGGGACTGGACAGACAGACACTGGAGGGACACGGGTGCTCAGTGGAGTCTGTGGCCCCTGCACAGATGGGCCCTCGGGGACAACTGAACCCCAGGCCTCCCAGGGCTGAGCACATGGGGGATGTCTAGGAGGTGGCCGCAGGCTGGGCTGTGTGCCTGGTGACCTTGTTGGGTCCCTGTCTTCCCCACAGAGGCCTCGAGCCCCCTGGGCCTTCTCCTGCCTGCTGTTCTCCAGGTGGGGGAGCAAGGTGGGTGCTTGCGGGGCAGACCGCTCAGACAGGGCTCCCAAGTTGTCCTTATCAGAGGGGCACCCAGGGCCACCCGCTGCCCTCAGGGCATATCTGGACACTGCCTCCTCTGTCAGGATGTGGCCTGGACCCTGCTTCTCTCACAGGTGGCTGCTGGGGTTACCCACAGCCTCCACCGAGAGCCTGGACAGGAGGCACCAGTCCCTGGGGCAGCTGCCACAGGACACAGGCTGGGACTCCCCAAGAAGCTGCAGTGGCAGAGCCAGGGTGGTGCTCTGAGCCCTGGGCCTGAGGACAGCAGCCCTGGCAAAAGTGCAGGCGGGCCGAGCCAGGGAAGCATCTCCACACACAGACAGAAGGACAGCAGAGGCCAGCGGGAAGCCCTGAGGCAGCAGTGCAGGGAGGGCTCCAGAGTGTGGTGGACAGCCGCCCGGCTGGGGCCCGCCCAGGCCAGGCCTGCAGAGTGCGTCCACGTGCTCGTGAGCACAGGTGAGTGGGCTTGGGTGTGCTGTGTGTCCCTGCCCGGCGCGCCTGTGCCTGGGGAGTCCGTGTGCCTGCCTGTCAGTGTGTGTGTGTGAGTCTGTGTGTGCGGGGACATGGGTGCCCGTGTGTGCGAGTGTCTGTGTGTGCGGGTGTGCTGCATGTGTGGTGTGGCAGAGCTTTTGGCTGTTTCTGGAAGCAGCTGGAGGAAGAGCGTGGCAACTGCCCACCCCGAGTGCCCTGGGAGGCTGCGGGTGGCAGGTGGCGAGGCAGGAGGGGCCGCGTGGAGGGCGCGAGGGACACAGCAGGTGAGAGCATCGCACACTCAAGACCAGCATCTTTTGAACGGATCTTTTTATTCTGATTTTTATAAAATGCGGCATCTCACTCCACTGATGCAGTTAGTGTGCACACAGAGCGAAGGGACCCCAGGACCTGGACTGGCGGGTGGCCAGCGGGTCAGTAGCAGGTGCTGGCCGTGTCAGACATGATCAGGGACACGTTGTACAGGGTGGGTTTACCAGTGGACTTGTCCACAGTCTTCTCGGTCACCATGTGTGGCAGGGCCTCGTGGCCTACGACGCAGGCGAAGACCTCGCCTGAGTTCCAGTCTTCCTCGGTCACTGTCAGGATGCTGTGGGCATAGTAGAGGCCCGGGGCCTGGGGCTCAGGCGTCGGGGCGCTTGTCGCGTACTTGTCTGAGGACACGGGCTGCCCCCGGTGCAGCCACTGCACGAAGACGTCCGGGGGAGAGAAGCCCTTCACCAGGCAGGTGACCGTGGCCGACTCCTGCAGGAGCAGCTGCTCCCGGGCTGGCGGCAGCAGGTACACGGCCGGGGGGTGCCTGGCCGCCTCTGCGAGAAGAGAGACAGTGGTGAGTGAAGGTGGGACGGGGGGATCCTGGGAGCAGGGGGGGCGGGGTGCGGGGGGCCGAGCCTACCCCTGGGCTTGGAGATGATCTCCTTCAGCGGTGAGGGCAGGTCATTGTGGGTCACTGTGCATGTGAACTGCTCCCCGGACTCCCAGTCTTCCACGCAGACACTGGCCTCACCCACAGCACTGAAGGTGCCGTTGGGGTGGCTGCTGGAGATGTTGGTGTGGGTTTTCAGAGCCTCTCCATTCTGGCGGGCCCAGGTGATGATCAGGCTGTCGTAGGTGGCCAGGTCTGTGACCAGGCAGGACAGCTTGGCCGATTTGGTGAGGAAGATGCCGGCAAAGGTCGGGGGGACGGTGAAGACCCGGATGCCTGTGGGTGGACTTGCTGTGGAGAGAATGCTGGTTGAGTGGTGGGTGGACGTGAGACTGGGGGCAGCTCCCCAGGAGTGGCAGCAGATCCGCCCAGCCCTGGTGTCCTGCTGCAGCAGGGGCGATTCCCCCATCCCCACCCAACTGCTGCTTCTGCTGCCTCTGCCCCTGCCCAGGCCCGGGCAGCAGATGGCACGTCTGGGGGGCAGGCACCACCTGAGGGAACCTGTGTGGGTGCCCTGGCAGGGTGTGGGGAGTGCTGGGCCCGGGACAGGGGCACTCACTGGTGCCACACACGGAGGACACGTTCTTCTGGAAGGTGAGTCCCCTGTGATCCACGCGGCAGGTGAACACGTGCTGGCTCAGCCAGTCGCTCTCAGTGATGGTCAGTGTGCTGGTGACCTTGAAGGTTGAGCGTTGGGACCCACTGGCTTCTGCGGTCACTGGGCCCGTAGTGAAGCCAGACGTCAAGACCTTTCCCTCCCGGAGCCAGGACACTGTGATCTGCTTGGGACTGAAGTCCGTGGCCTGGCAGATGAGGCTGGACTCGCGTTTGCCGGGACCAGAGAAGGAGTCTCGAGATGGGATGAACACACTCACGTTGGGGGACTGGTCCACTCCAATACCTGAGATCAGGGACAAGGTGTCAGCTCGGCCTGTGAAGCAGCCCCCCATAGCTCCCTCCAGCCAGGCCAGAGTGTCCCCAACCTCACCTGGGAGGGGCACCTCCTTGTGTTTGTTGTTACCGCCATGCTGGACTCTGCACACCAGGAACTCGTCGGGGTCCTGAAAGGCGTCCTTGGAGGACAGCAGGACCTGAGAGGTGGCGGCATACTTGCCCTGCACCATCGTCGAAGGGAAGGTCCTGACACCCTGACGGATCGCTGTGTTGTTCTTGAAGTTCCAGGAGAAGGTGGCTGTGTCGGGCAGGAAGTCCTTGGCCAGGCAGCCCACGGTCACCAGGCTCTCGTCGGACAAGGGACTCTCACAGGAAATGAGGGGGAAGAGGCTCGGGGATGACTGGCTCGCTGAGGACCCCGAGGCACAAAAAGAAAGGGAAGGGTGAGAAGTCGTCTCCTGTGCTCTGCTGGTCAGGGGTTTCTCCCAGCCCCCACCCCACTGCAGCTCGCTCCAGTGCTGAGCCTCCGGTAGGCCCCCCGGCCTGCACAGACGAGGCTGGCTGTGGCAGGAGGCCAGGTGACAGCTGAACTGATGTGAGGCTTCTGGGGCAGCGGGAGGGCCTCTGGCTGTAGGACCCCAGTTTTTAAAGCCAGGAGGGTGGGAGGGGGCTCCCAACAGCACATGTCGAGCTGGCCACAGGCAGCACTGACACCTGCACTCAGGGACAGGCCTGCATCCCGGCTCCCCATGCAGGAGGCTCAGCTGGAGCTCAAGCCTGAGCCAGCTCTGCCTCTTCCTGGGCACTGGCCCTCAGCACTGGCAGGCTCAGCTCCCACAGCACCCAGCTCGGGCACAGAAGCTCACCCTGAAATCTCCCCAGGCAGGCAGCTCCAGGCAGGGTGTGGGAAGCACGTGGAGTCAGTGCAACCCTCCACCCAAGCACAGTGGATCACAAATATCTGCCCAGACAGTGTTGGCCAGGACCAACCGGCACAGCCAGCTCAGCTCAGCAGGGTCCATGTGGCCCAGCAGATGTCAATCCAGCCCCAAACAGTCTCTTCAGACTTGCTAAAGGAGCTGAACTTCCATAAGCCCTGCTGACTCTAGATCAGCACCTTTCAGCTATGCCCAGTCTAGGGCAGCTCTGCCCATGCATTTCAGGTCACCTCACCCAGCTCAGCACAAGTCACAGAGACCAGCCCAGCTCAGCTAGTTCACCCTTGCTATAGCAGCTAACCCAGCTAAGCCCAGAATAACCCAAAACAGCCCAGCTCATCCAAGCCCAGATCGGCCCAGCTCAGTTTAGCCAATTTAGTTCCATATAGCTCAGCGAAGCTCAGCCCAGTCCACTCCACGTGACCTCAGCTCAGCTAAGTGTGGTTCAGCTTGGCTTAGCCCAGCTCCGTTGAACCCATGGGAGCCCACCCATCTCATCCCTGCCCAGTTCAGCCCAGCTAAGCCCTGTCAGCCCAGCTCAGTTCATCCATCTCAGCCAGCTCAGTCCAGCCCAGCCCAGATCAACCCAGCTCTGCTTAGCCCAGCCCAGCCAGCTCAGCCCAGTTCTGCTTAGCTCAGCTCAACCCAGCCCAGCCCAGCTCAGCCCAGCTCAGCTCTGCTTAGTCCACCTCAGCCCAGCTCAGCCCAGCCTAGCTCTGCTTAGCCCAGCCCAGCTCAGCCAGCCCAGCCAGGTCAGCCCAGCTCAGCCCAGCTCAGCTCAGCTCAGCCCAGCCCACCGAAGCCCAGCTCAGCTCAGATCAGCTCTGCTTAGCCCCGGCTCAGCTCAGCCCAGACAGCTTAGCCTAGCCCAGCTCTGCTTAGCTCAGCTCAGCCCAGCCTAACCCAGCCAGCTCAGCTCAGCTCTGCTTAGCCCAGCTCAGCCCAGCTCAGCCCAGTCCTGCTTAGCCCAGCAAGCTTAGCTTAGCCCAGGTCAGCCCATCAAGCCCAGCCACCTCAGCCCAGCTCAGCCCAGCCCAGCCCAGCTCTGCTTAGCCCAGCCAGCTCAGCCCAGCTCAGCCCAGCCCAGCCCAGCTCTGCTTAGCCCAGCCTAGCATAGCCCAGCCAGCTCAGCTCAGCCCAGCCCAGCCCAGCTCTGCTTAGCCCAGCCAGCTCAGCCCAGCTCAGCCCAGCCCAGCCCAGCTCTGCTTAGCCCAGCCTAGCATAGCCCAGCCAGCTCAGCTCAGCCCAGCCCAGCCCAGCTCTGCTTAGCCCAGCCCAGCTCTGCTTAGCCCAGCCAGCTCAGCTCAGCTCAGCTCAGCTCAGCCCAGCTCAGCCCAGCCCAGCCCAGCTCTGCTTAGCCCAGCCTAGCATAGCCCAGCCAGCTCAGCTCAGCTCAGCTCAGCTCAGCCCAGCCCAGCCCAGCCTAGCATAGCCCAGCCAGCTCAGCCCAGCTCAGCCCAGCCAGCTCAGCCCAGCTCAGCCCAGCCAGCTCAGCCCAGCTCAGCCCAGCTCAGCTCAGCCCAGCCTAGCATAGCCCAGCCAGCTCAGCTCAGCTCAGCTCAGCTCAGCCCAGCCTAGCATAGCCCAGCCAGCTCAGCCCAGCTCAGCCCAGCCAGCTCAGCCCAGCTCAGCCCAGCCAGCTCAGCCCAGCTCAGCCCAGCTCAGCTCAGCCCAGCCCAGCCCAGCTCTGCTTAGCCTAGCCTAGCATAGCCCAGCCAGCTCAGCTCAGCTCAGCCCAGCTCAGCCCAGCCCAGCCCAGCCCAGCTCAGCTCAGCCCAGCCTAGCATAGCCCAGCCAGCTCAGCTCAGCTCAGCTCAGCTCAGCTCAGCCCAGCCTAGCATAGCCCAGCCAGCTCAGCTCAGCTCAGCCCAGCCCAGCTCTGCTTAGCCCAGCCTAGCATAGCCCAGCCAGCTCAGCCCAGCTCAGCCCAGCCAGCTCAGCCCAGCTCAGCCCAGCTCAGCTCAGCCCAGCCCACCGAAGCCCAGCTCAGCCCAGCCCAGCTCAGCTTTGCTTAGCCCAGCTCAGTTCAGCCCAGCATAGCCCAGCTCAGCCCAGCTCAGCTCAGCCCAGCACAGCCCAGCAGACCTCAGCTAAAGCCACCCCATTCCTGGGTCCTGCACAGCCCTGCTGGCTTCTGTCTCCTACCCTCCTACCCTATTCTGCCTGGCTCTCGGCTGCAGAGCAAGCTTATCAATCACTACCATCCTTGAACAGCAGGGAAGACTATATCCTGACAACTTCAAATTCACTGAAACATCTTGAGATTTAGATCAAGAATGTAGGGTCTTTCCTAACAACAATGAAAAATCCCTTTCCTGCCAGAATCCCCGGCATTGCTCTGTCAGGGGAAGCACTCTGGGTCGTCTCCCTCAGAGCCCAACTTCCGGGAGACAGCACCCTTTAGCCTGGACTCCTTCTTCCAAGACTAAAATTAACCCCCAATGCTAAGCTCCCTCTAGATTAAAACCGTTACTGACAACGACCAGAAAAGTCATTTTATCTAAATTTGCCACTTAAAATTCTTCTGTTTGCCATGAAGCTCTTTAGAAGCACAATAACCATCTAAAAGCCAGAGCTGCATTTATAACCTAAGCTGAGACAGTGTCAGTAGAGCTTTGTGAATTGAAAAGCATCATGAGCAGAACCATCAAGTTAATAAGCACTAGAGCCCCTCCTGCCCATTTCCCCTCAACGGGGACTTCAGGAGAAGTTCAAAATGGATCCTAGACAACGGCCCCTCAAGGGCCTCACAAAAGCCTTCTCTTCCCAAAAGATCCGTTCCCCTTCAAATTGGAGGAAACATCAGTACAAACTTTCCAGAAAAGCGGCCTTGGCAGTGGGCACTGCCTCTCTTACCACGTTGGGTGCCGGGTCACAGGGAGGTCCCGAGGGTCTTTGATTCTTCCAAGTGCATTATATCCAGGTGATTCACGATTAGCCACTTGCCCTGGTGGCAGCAGCCAGGCCCACACATTCCCAGGTCCAGGCGGTCCTGGGGGACCCAGGCCAAGGCCAGGCCAGGAGCAACCTGCTCTCAGATCCCTGCCAGCGCTCCCTGGACAAGAAGCCCAGCCAGCGTGGTCAGGAAGAGAGCCTCATCTTCGGGCCAGTGCCTGCATTCTTTTTTTTGCCCTATCTTGCTGGATTTTCTCTTAATTCACGAACTACCACCTTTAACTGAAGTAATTCAAGACAACTCTTCACCCTTCACCTAAAATTTATTCTAAAATGAATATTGGAAAAGTGGTCTCAAAAATAACTTCAAAAGGCATCTTTCCAGAATGTCTAAGTGTCTCTTAATCACAGAGTAAAGGGACTGGCTTAAAAATCGTAAAGAGTCACTGTAAAAATAATGCTGCAGGCTTTAGTTAAAGGGTTGAGATTAATTGTCACACGGAGGACAACAAAGTAATTTACAAAAAGTTTTCTAAGTACATTAATAAACTGCCCCAAGACTGTTCACTTTCATATACATCTTGCTTTGAAGTTGGTCAGTCAAGTCTGAACAAACTAGAATCCATAAGCCAAGACTGAAACCGCACAGCTGAAAGAGGCCCTGGCACTTCCCGCCAGCACCCTCACCTTATTTTAGAAATGCAAATCGTGCAGGTGTTGTTTTGCTGGGGAACTTTCGGATCTATGCTGCTGGCAGAGCCTTTCAGTGCCACTTCCTCTTACCACAGCTATAAATTTACCTATGGTGTTTTTTTGCTTCCTGAAATAGACTCTCCATGTGGCCTGCTTCCTGCCACCTGCAGAGGGTGGAGGGGCTGTGTCCCCCCCTCCCCACTGCTGAAGCCATCTTGGACCCACTCATCATCCAGCTCACCACTGTTCAATTAATTAAAAAAATAAATTAGCTTCCTTGCTGCCAAAGCCAGTCCCGAATCAGACATTGCAGACAGGACTTACAGTTGTTCACTGGAAAGTTTTCAATAAAAACCGAACTTACTAAAAACCTCTCGTATTTTTAAGTCACAATTTTCTTGCCATTTTTGTCGGCAACCACTATGCAGACACTAAGAAGTGAGCCTTTCCAAGCTCCTGCCAGGGACTGTCCTCTCGGAGCCTGGCTCCCCTGGTCCCTGTGTCCCTGCCAGGACTGCAGCTGCCCACTCACCAGGACCGAGGCTACTCACTCACTCAGAGTTAACTTTATAGAAGTTAAACTACTGCCTGGCACACAGCACACCTCAGGATTCTAAGGAAAGCCCTCTATTCCACGCTCTCCCGGGCGCCATAGCCCTTCTACAGGGGCTATCACTGAGGCACACTCCTCAGCCAACACCGGCTCAAAAACTGAACATCATCCAGACCCCCGAGGGGTCCTGCTCTTTTTTAGCAACTCACCCCAAACACGGCCTCCCACCCTGAGCCCCCTTCCAGAGGCTCACTTTCTCCATTGGATACACCAGACCTTATTCCAGTTTTCCAAAGGCATCTGGAAGCCAAGGGAGGCTCCCCAGTCCCTGGCCCCTCCTGGCCAGCCCACCTGGGTCCCCCCGGGAACATGTCCCAAGAACCAGTCTTGGGTGCTCAGAAAACCGAAGAGTGGAGATTGAAAGCCAGGAGAAGTTGTTCTTACCTGAAGAGACGGTGACTGAGGTCCCTCGACCCCATACGTCCATGCCATAGTAATCACAATGGTGCAGTCTCCACCTGCACCCCACAAGAACCCTGGAGCCTGCCCTGACATGGTCCCCTGGCTGCGACACTGACCTCTGGCACCACACGGGAGCCGGCCAGTCACTCCTCTCCTCACCTGGGCCAGCGGCTCCTGAGCCCTTCATGGCCCCAATCCACACATTCCAGCCTGGACCCTCAGAAGCTGGACTGCGGTGGCCTGGGAAATGTGACCCTTGACTGACCGCTCCTAATTCCCAGGAGCCCAACAGACACCAACAGGCCCTGCCCAAAACGCAGGGCCTCAGAGTAGACAGAAGCCCAGTCATGCCGCAGTCACAAGATGCCTGATGTGGCTTGGCACAGACCGGAGCCCTCACCCACACCAGCCAGTCATGCCCCTGCCCAGACTCCCGTGGCTCAGCTGGGGACGAGGGGGCCTGGATCTCCATCTCCCATTGCCGCGGCCCTCCCCCGGCTCCCTCTCCTGGGTTCCAGAATGCCGCTCTGACACAGAGACCCTGAAATGCCGAGTCTCCCCAAGTCAGATAGATAGGGTGGGCGGAGGACTCACCTGAGCTGACCGTCACCAGGGTTCCCTGGCCCCAGACATCAAAAACATCATCACATTGTGACAAATGTGGCTGGGACCCAGACAAGAACCGTGCCAGTCATGCCCCTGTCCCAGACTCCCGTGGCTCAAAGTGGGCATCAGCTCCCATTGCCGCGGCCCTCCCCCGGCTCCCTCTCCTGGGTTCCAGAATGCCGCTCTGACACGGAGACCCTGAAATGCGAGTCTCCCCAAGTCAGATAGATAGGGTGGGCGGAGGACTCACCTGAGCTGACGGTCACCAGGGTTCCCTGGCCCCAGACATCAAATGCATTGTCACATTGTGACAAATGTGGCTGGGTCCCAGACAAGAACCGCACCAGTCAGGGCCCTGACACTACCTAAGATTGAGCCCTTGAAGGTGAGGGCAGTAGGACCCCCAGAGAGACCCCTGGTGCAGAGTCCAGGGCAGAGGGAGTTGTCTGCATGAGCTGCGACCTCCTGCCGGCCCCAGTCCAGCCCCAGCCCCTTTTGGCCCAAGACCCACTTTCATTTGCCCCAAAATGCAGCAGAAGCTTTCTGAGAGGAGAGGAGAGAGGTTGGAAGGACTTACCTGAGGAGACGGTGACCAGGGTGCCAGGGCCCCAGTAATCAAAGTAATCACATTGCCACAGCCCCAGTTTGGGGTGATACAAAAACCTTGCCCACCTGCCGCCCGTGCCCAGCTGGCCACAGCCCAGAGGCCTGCTCCTAAGCTCATCTCACCCAACACAAAGCACAAGGCAGGCGGCTCCCAGCCTGCTCTGAGCGCCTGGACCCCAGGGCCGGGAGGGAGACAGGCTGAAGGGTCCAGGGAGAGGCAGCCTAGGCGCCCTGGCCCGGGGCTCCTGGTTCCTGTGGCCACGGGGCCCCCAGCTCTGCTGCCCAGACAGCCTGTGGCCAGGCTCTGCCTAGCAGGGCCACCACGGCAGTCCGATCCCCTGGGCTGGCAGAGACAGCAACTGGTCCACCCTCCAGTGCTGGACCCAGGTGGGCTACAGGACCCAGATGGGCACAGGGCCCAGAGATCAGGCAGGGAAGACAGAGGGATTTGCAGGGGACTCACCTGAGGAGACGGTGACCAGGGTGCCCTGGCCCCAGTATTGATCACATTGCCACAGCCCCAATTTGGGATGGTACAAAAACCTTGCCCACCTGCCGCCCGTGCCCAGCTGGCCACAGCACAGAGGCCTGCTCCTAAGCTCATCTCACCTAACACAAAGCACAAAGCAGCCTGCTCTGGGTGCCTGGGCTGGGAGGGAGACGGGCAAGGGCTGAAGAGCCCAGGGAGACGCAGCCCAGGCCCCCTGGCCCGGGGCTCCGAGTTCCTGTGGCCACGGTGCCCCCAGCTCTGCCAGCAAGCTCTCCCTCCCAGACAGCCTGTGGCCAGGCTTCCCTCTGCCTAGCGGGACCACCACCACCGTCCGATCCCCCAGGCTGGGGCTGTAGCGATCTGGCAGAGACGGCAACTATACACCCTCCAGCACTGGACCCAGATGGGGTACAGAGCCCAGGGACCAGGCAGGGAAAAGAGAGAGACCTGGAGGGGACTCACCTGAGGAGACGGTGACCAGGGTGCCCTGGCCCCAGTGATCAAAGTACCAGTAGCACAGCCTCTGCCCTGTGGCTGCTCTCATACAAAAATGTCTTCTTGGCCTGGCTCTGCCCATCCACCCTAGCTGTCCCCAAGAACAGGACTCACCTGAGGAGACGGTGACCAGGGTGCCCTGGCCCCAGAAGTCGAAGTCAGCAAGGCACAGTGAGCTTGCCCTGTGGCCAGGGACACAGAAACCTCCAGCACAGGGTCCCGGGGAGCCCAGGGGAGCCCCAGACCCTGGAAATTCTGCCCTCTGCTTGGAGAGACCTCCACCCCAGTCCCCAGCCAACCCCCTGCCTCCGCCCCGCTGGGGTGCAGGTGGGGCTTTTCATTGGTCCCGGGGGACACAGTTTCCCTGCTGAGCTCTGCTGATGCCTGTGTCTGTGTGCTGCTTAGCCCCTGCCCACACCACCTGTCCCTCTGCATTCTCCTGCCCGTGGGCCAGCCCCGCTCACCCTCCACCAGGGCCCAGTGCGTCTTCTCCCTGGGCTCACAGAGCTCGTGGGTGCTGCTGGTTTTCGTAGAACCCTCAGTCACGGTGGATCCAGTTACCACTGTGGTTCCCGGCTCAGCCAAAACCCCCACCCCCCAACCCCCGCAGGCAGGAGGCCCCTGAGAGCAGCCCCTGGTGGGCTGGACCGGGCCCTTATCTTCCCCTCTGCCATCGACTCACACGGAGACCCAACCCCCAGCGGTACAGTCACTCCTGCGCTGGGAGCAGATGGCCTGCCCCTGTAGCGGTCACTAGAGTGTCAGGCTTTTTCTTCTCTTAGAGCTCCCAGCTGGGGGGACGCAGGTCTGCCGCCCTCTGGTCATGCTGGCTGCAGGGACAGGCCGGCTGTGGCAGTGGGGGGCGGCACCCTGGTCTGGAGGACTGGGGACTCCCAGATTGGCATTTGCAAGGTCCTGGAGGACAGTGTCCCTGGTGCTGGGTCCTGTGGCTGTGTCCCCTCCCTGACCCCCTGGAGCTCCTAGCCCTAAACAAGGGGTGGTGACATCCCCTGGATGGGTGCAGGAAACATGGCTAAGGCAGACAACCCTGCCCTAGACCTGCACGGCTGCCCTCCACCTGGACCCAGGGGCTGCGTGCGTCCACCACCTGTCAGGCCCTGGGCTGGGGTGGGCCACACAGGAGCCCAGGCGTGGCCCTTAATGAGTGCGGAGTCACCTAGGCCTGAATGTAGCAGTGAGCACATGTGGGGGGACTGCTGGGGTGGGGCACAGAGCAGCCAAGATGGGAAGGCGCCCTGACATCACGGGGAGGCCTGGGAGGGGACAGGAGCTGACAGCAGGACTGGCTCTGGACATGCGGCTGAGATGAAGGTGGCCTGAGAGAACAGCCCAGGGCCCGGGGGTACGGGCTGCTCTGGTACAGTGTGGCCCAGGAAGGGCATCTGTGAAGGGACCCTGGGAAGGAGAGGGTGAGGTGGGGTGAGCTGCGGGGCTCCTGCAGGGGTCGGCAGCACAGGGAGGTCCTGGGAACAAAGGGTAGGAGACCCCACAGGAAGGGAAGAGTGCCAGGTGGCACCAGGGCAGGGATGAGCAGCGGATATGAGAAGCTGAGAAGCCTCCATGTAAGGGCAGGGGACCATGACCAGGGAGGGGTGGGCAAAGGAGGCCAAGAGGGAGAGCGGAGGAGGGGAGGCGAGGGCAGACCTGGGATCAGGGCAAAGGACGGTGAGGAGGGAAGTTGACTAAGGCCTGGGACTGGGGCACAGGACAGTGAGGACAGGAGGTGACTGAGGCCTAGGAACAGGGACACAGAAAGGTGACGACAGGAGGTGACTGAGGCTTAGGACCAGGGACACAGGAGAATGAGGATAGGAGGTGACTGAGGCTTAGGACCAGGGACACAGGAGAATGAGGACAGGAGGTGACTGAGGTTTAGGACCAGGGACACAGGAGGTGAGGACAGGAGATGACTGAGACTTAGATCCAGGGGCACAGGAGGTGAGGACACAGGTGACTGAGGCTTAGGTCCAGGGGCACAGGAGGTGAGGACACAGGTGACTGAGGCTTAGGTCCAGGGGCACAGGAGGTGAGGACACAGGTGACTGAGGCTTAGGTCCAGGGGCACAGGAGGTGAGGACACAGGTGACTGAGGCTTAGGTCCAGGGACACAGGAGGTGAGGACACAGGTGACTGAGACTTAGGTCCAGGGGCACAGGAGGTGAGGACACAGGTGACTGAGGCTTAGGTCCAGGGGCACAGGAGGTGAGGACACAGGTGACTGAGACTTAGGTCCAGGGGCACAGGAGGTGAGGACAGGAGGTAACTGAGGCTTAGGTCCAGGGGCACAGGAGGTGAGGACACAGGTGACTGAGGTCTAGGTCCAGGGACACAGGAGGTGAGGACACAGGTGACTGAGGCTTAGGTCCAGGGGCACAGGAGGTGAGGACACAGGTGACTGAGGCTTAGGTCCAGGGGCACAGGAGGTGAGGACACAGGTGACTGAGGCTTAGGTCCAGGGGCACAGGAGGTGAGGACACAGGTGACTGAGGCTTAGGTCCAGGGGCACAGGAGGTGAGGACATAGGTGACTGAGGCTTAGGTCCAGGGGCACAGGAGGTGAGGACACAGGTGACTGAGGCTTAGGTCCAGGGGCACAGGAGGTGAGGACACAGGTGACCGAGGCTTAGGTCCAGGGGCACAGGAGGTGAGGACACAGGTGACCGAGGCTTAGGTCCAGGGGCACAGGAGGTGAGGACAGAGGTGACTGGGGCTTAGGTCCAGGGGCACAGGAGGTGAGGACACAGGTGACTGAGGCTTAGGTCCAGGGGCACAGGAGGTGAGGACACAGGTGACCGAGGCTTAGGTCCAGGGGCACAGGAGGTGAGGACAGTAGGTGACTGAGGCTTAGGTCCAGGGGCACAGGAGGTGAGGACATAGGTGACTGAGGCTTAGGTCCAGGGGCACAGGAGGTGAGGACACAGGTGACCGAGGCTTAGGTCCAGGGGCACAGGAGGTGAGGACACAGGTGACTGAGGCTTAGGTCCAGGGGCACAGGAGGTGAGGACACAGGTGACTGAGGCTTAGGTCCAGGGGCACAGGAGGTGAGGACACAGGTGACCGAGGCTTAGGTCCAGGGGCACAGGAGGTGAGGACAGTAGGTGACTGAGGCTTAGGTCCAGGGGCACAGGAGGTGAGGACACAGGTGACCGAGGCTTAGGTCCAGGGGCACAGGAGGTGAGGACAGTAGGTGACTGAGGCTTAGGTCCAGGGGCACAGGAGGTGAGGACACAGGTGACTGAGGCTTAGGTCCGGGGGCACAGGAGGTGAGGACACAGGTGACTGAGGCTTAGGTCCAGGGGGCACAGGAGGTGAGGACACAGGTGACTGAGGCTTAGGTCCAGGGACACAGGAGGTGAGGACACAGGTGACTGAGGCTTAGGTCCAGGGGCACAGGAGGTGAGGACACAGGTGACTGAGGATTAGGTCCAGGGGCACAGGAGGTGAGGACACAGGTGACTGAGGCTTAGGTCCAGGGGCACAGGAGGTGAGGACACAGGTGACTGAGGCTTAGGTCCAGGGGCACAGGAGGTGAGGACACAGGTGACTGAGGCTTAGGTCCGGGGGCACAGGAGGTGAGGACACAGGTGACTGAGGCTTAGGTCCAGGGGCTCAGGAGGTGAGGACAGGAGGTGACTGAGGCTTAGGTCCAGGGGCACAGGAGGTGGGGACACATGTGACTGAGGCTTAGGTCCAGGGGCACAGGAGGTGAGGACAGGAGGTATGTGGCTTCATGGGTCTTCTTTCCTGGTTTGGCCTCCTCAGT